CCTCAAGGATTTGGAATGACCTTACCAAAATAAGGAATCTGAACACGTAAAAATCAACTCCATAAACAAAACAATGACATGAACATCAGTTTTATTCACTGAGAATATATTTTAGAAAATCTATGGCATAAACATAACTATAAATGAACATTGCTCTTCTCAGCACTTTCTGTCTAGAAAATTCAGTACACTATATGAGAAATTCATTAAATTAAAGCAAGTAAACTTATTTATGTACAACATGATTTTTCTAATGCTAAGGTTAAAAGGAAGAAGGCACCAGAAATATTGAAAAGCACAGGAAGCAAGGCAGAAATACTGCAAGATTATCATAATCCAGTTTGCCATAGGGAAAATATTTAAGACAAAATTGAAAATAAAATAAACATACGTTACAAGATAGCCAAATTATTGTGAAATGTATCAAATTGGCAGACTGTACATTGTGGAGGTCACAGAAAATTATTACTGTAAAAATGTTCCCCCACAAATTAGCATAAATAAACTGTTCTCTATGGTTTCTAATATGCTACCTAAAAACACGGTGTTGCTTCCCAAGGGAGTCTGGTTTCAATCCAAGGCAGATGAGCTAGATGGAGCCAGAATGGCAGTGTTTGACAGACACTAATAAAAAAGACCAGTGACATTTCACAGACTTGCAATATTCTATTTTATCAGATGCAGTAGAGATCAGAAGTTAAGACCATGAGCTCTGGAATCAGACCTGTGTTCAAATCCTGAGCCCACCACTGTGACCTCAAGGAAGCCACTTAACCTCTCCAAAACAGTATTCAAAGCTGATCGAGGAGGTGAGAGCACCTTCCTGAAAGGCTGCCATAAGCATGCAATGTAGGCAAACTACTCAGTACACTACCCAGGCTGCAGGTTGAGATCAGCATACGACAGTTATTTTTAAGTTAAGTTTAAAAGCATAAACCAGTTTAATCGAACATATTTGCTTGGTACCATGGTATTATAGGAAAGCCAAGTTTTATTGCTTTGAGGAATCCCAAAAGGAAAGTACATGGACAAGAGGGTAGCAATACTGAAATGGATAAATAACTTATATTTTCATGATTAGCGCTGGTGTCATTACTTTGCAGACATGATGATTTCTTTCTGTGCATTTCTAAAGATACTGCAACATTCTCATGGACATGCTCCCAATCTCTCTCTTCACATTTTAGAAACTAGAAAAGGTAAGAGACAAGTTATATACTCGCCCAAGAGCATATAAAAGTTTGCAAAAGTGGTAAAGATAGATAATCATTTTTATATAGGGCTTTATCTATTTCTTATAAACTTATGGTGATATTCCTTTGAAAAGGGTGAATCAATGGCACAATGTTAGAATATTTACAATTTTTTCAGAAATCAAAATTGGTTTGTTTTGAATGGTTGACGGCTAAGGTGAACTCTAAATTAAGTGCAAAATTAAATTCAAAGCCAAGTAATCTTTTATTGATTTATATAGCTTAGTTGTAGTGTACAGACGTCACAGGCAGGCAGCTTTTTTAAAAAAAATATATGATTTCTGCAAAGTGACTTGAATTGCATAAAAAGTAGCACCAATATGCCAATATCCTAACCCCTGCCCAGGACATATGACCAAAATGTAAAACCACAGGCAAGTTTAAAATGTCACAAATAAGTTGTCTATTTTTAAATTTAAAAATTACAAAATACTCTTAATGTTTGAGAAAGAACATCAAGTAATTAGCTAAGAAGTTATGTATACACTATTTTCACTTCTTAGGCTAAGGGTCAACTTCAGACTCCAAACCACTTTTCCCAGAAAAACAAATACAGAAGATAAAGTAGTAACATTTTATACTCAAAATAGTATCTACAAGGTCACAGCAAAGGAAACAATTTTAAAATGCAATCCACCCTGCAATTCAATAGGCTGTTTTCCAAAATGTAATTTTGAAAGTTAAACAGCAGGTCCTGACAAGAACTTTTATCTACTAGAATGAAAATATCAGGTGTATACCGGGTAGGTATTGTTTTGTAAACTTTTGGAGTGTGTGTGTGTGTGTGTGTGTGTGTGTGTACTGGGTTGCAATGCAGAATGTCTTATTTTGAGTTGCTGTGAAAAAGGACTCTCAACTGTTCTAAAAGCAAATTTTACCTTTTGGAGCCCCCTACAGGCTCTAAACGTTAAGAACGTGAATCCTACAGTAAATACATCACCCTTCTGTTGGAGGGCGGTTCAGGAACTCACTCCATAATTTATGCGGGAATAAACGTTGACACAGCAACAGGCAGTGTTTGCCCGAAGAACTCAAACTGAAAACAGGGGCAGCCTCAATCGTGAAACCAAATCATCTTCAAGAAACAGATTAACGGATCAGGTCCACATTAGGCCTTACTAATTATATTTAAAATTGGAAGAAATATGTCAGTATTTCACAATAATAGTGGTCTGGGCAGACTAAGAAGAAATAAAATCATGAGAACTTTTTAGAAAATGCTAATTCACCTTTGTAAGTTTTTTCCAAATGAGTGCTAAAAATTTAATCAAAAGAAACATGGCTAAGTGATATAAAAGGCTTGTTTCCACCCCACACTCTCCTACATAGGATTGAGTAAAGAACAATTTTGAACAATCAGGTGCTAAACCCTAACTCCAACACTATTATTTTAAGAACTAACAGATCACTATATCAAAGTAGTAAAACTTTATGAAGTGGTTAGAAAACTGATGTGATATAAGCAATACAGGCTACAAGCGAACAGACTATTCAATTAAGGACTTTTTTCCTCTCTGCTTTCACAAATGGAAAGATAATTTAACATACATAAAAGCAATGCTCATCATGTTTATCTTAATAACCCCCACCCCAAAAAATTTAAAATGTTTGTAGAAGGTTAAGACTAGTTGCAAACTGCAAATATCTCACAAAACAATCATCAAACACTGTTCTGACCTTAATTTCACCTGTATCAAGTCGCCTATCTCAGAATGCTGGAATGGTTTAGTTAACTTAAGGTCGATAGCAGAACAGGTAAGAGGCCAAATGGTAATGATCCTGTTGAAAGGGGATCTCTTGGCAATCAAATCAATTTAGCATAAATGAAGGTGATTCATAACATATCCAAGAGCAGCATATAGCTTTTTTCTTTTTTTTGAATCAGCACTGGTTGGTCCCTCAGGTAGGGCTTGGAGACTAAAACTGAATATAAAATGAGCAGATATGCCCTGCAAGGTAATGCTGGTTCATTTGGTCTAAAGCAACCCTATCATCCAATATTCCACATATTGACAAAACAATTCTATCTAGTTTACTGTAACATCTAACCCAGACTAAATAGTACGCTGGGGCTCATGACTCAAAATTTACCCTTGGCTTTAGCACAAACTCACATCAAAATCAGTAAAAATATCACATAAAATCATGAACTTCTGTGAATGAGAGCTCCATTTTAGCAAAACATTTGACTTACTACTCTTAAACAGATGTAACTGTGTTCAGAATTATGCCTGCCCGCTCCAAAAGTCCCAGAACTAATGTTTATTACAGAGATATCTATATGTGGGATTGAAATGATCTATTCAAAACAAATGGTCACACACAAACTTATTTGCCATTTACGTTATATAAAATATAAAAATTTGAGAATGAAAATAAACTTTATTCTCATTTAGTATTTTCCTGTATGAGCTGAAATTTAAAGAATGACCCTTCTTAATGCATAACCAATCATTTGAAGAATTTTTTTTTTTTTTTTAAGAGTCTCTGTCACCCAGGCTGTAGTGCAATGGCACGCTCACAGCTATCACAGTCTTGGACCTGCTGGGTTCAGGTGATCCTTCTGATCCAGACTTTCAAGTAGCAGGAACTACAGCCACACATCACTACACCTGGCTAATTTTAGAGTATCACTCTGTCGCCCAGGCTAGAACGTCGTGGCACGCTCATGGCCACTGCAGACTCGACCTGCTGGGCTCAGGTGATCTTTCTGCCTCAGTCTTCCAAGTAGCTGGAACTATAGGCGTGTGCTACCACGCCCAGCTCATTTTTTGATTTATTGTAGAGATGAGGTCTTACCAAGTTGCCCAGGCCGGTCTCGAACCCCTGAGCTCAGGCAATCCTCTCGCCTCCGCCTCCCAAAGTGCTGGGATTACAGGCATGAGCCACTGCATCCAGCTTTTTTTTTTAATTATAGAGACCTTGCCAGGTTGTCCAGGCTGGTCTCGAAACCGTGGAATCAGGCAATCCTCTTGCCTTTGCCTCCCAAAGTGCTGGGATTACAGACGTGAGCTACCGTGCCAGGCTGAAGAATTTTCTTTTTTTTTTTTTTTTGAGTTGGAGTCTCACTCTGTCGCCCAGACTGGAGTGCAGTGGCCGTTTTCGGCCACCGCAGCCTCGACCTGCTGGGCTCCGGCGATCCTTCCGCCTCAGTGAAGAATTTTCTAATAGCAATTTTTAAAATGAGAAAACAGGACTCTAAGTGATATCCTTTCCTTCCCATTTTCATCACAACTCAGTTCTTGGTAAGCTCACTGCCTTTTCCTGCTATCAATGACAGATCTTCATCATATTCAGAATGGATGTTTTTTAAGTAATCTCTTCCAAGGGTTCCCTCTCCCACCTCCCTACGCTACCTAAGGAAACTGTCCTTATTAGTGTTGGTAGGCACAATGAATATGCTTAAGGTAACATTACGATAATTGCTTTCATGAAATTGTTTTGTGCTTTATACCTGGGATACCAAGACCCATCATGTCCAAAAAAATACGGCTATCAAAGGTCACTTACAAGTTGCACTTTAATACCTTCTCTTTCACTCTCCAGACTACTTTGTTGAGAAAGTGATCCTACTGAATATTTAATAGTCAGTGAGTGACTCTGAACCCAACTTCACATTGAGTGACATTCTCTCGTGTACATAAATCCAACATAAAACGTACAAACATCTCCACTACTCACTCTCTCTCACAAGCAAGCATACACACACGTTTACTTTCTTTCCAGAACAAGCCAGAATTACAGCTCTTTTGGTGATTGTTATAATTTTTGGAATGGTTCATAAAATTTCCAAATTATTTTAAATTTGTAATACTTTCATCTTTTTTTTCCAATTGTGAACCATTCCATATTGCATCTTTATTGCAAAAGTCAACATGCTTCTTAGAAATTCAGATTGTAATCGATAAAACAAACATTACATAAATGAATTTAAATGTATAAACAGTTAGAAATTCAACAATATCTCCTATTATACTATTACACAAGTTCACAATTTTGTAAAAACTATAATACAGGCATACTATACATCAAGAGGAACCACTATTCCTTTTCACATGATTTTATCTTTTTTTTTTTTAATAATCATCTATCATCATGGACCCTTTTTCACCTTAACAAGACTGTTTTCCAATTTGTCATGTTAGCTGGTAACAATATTTTCCCAATGTTAACATGAAGAAAATGAGGAAAATTTTGGGGTTCCCTTTTGAAGCTTGGGCACTAACCCACTAGTAAGTTAGGCTGACCTAGTTGACTGGTAGCTATTATTGCTGATCAGCTATCTATAAAGATGTCATACACACTAAGAAGAACAGCAGAATTTGCCTCAGATGCTATTATGTCATTTCTGTAAATGAAGATGCCAAGAAAATAGATCATGGTAGTTAATCACTTTAAAGAGAAATTCTAAGTTGGGGATTTGAAGGCAAGGTAAAATATCCCAAAGGAAATGTCATTTTATACTAACTTCAAGTTTTCTAATATTATAATCGACTCATATTTCCAATCCATTTTTCAGAATCAAATACATTTTAGAATTCTTAGAAAGGACAATTTTAAAAGTGTTTTTAGTCCTATTTATGGTGAACTGAAAACCAAGTTTTATAGAAGGGCTTCACACTTTACTGAAAAACGATGTGTTCTTCACTTTCAAGTCCTTCTCTTTCACTCCCTCCCCCTAATAACTAAAAAGTCACATCCTCAACTCTCTCTCTATTGAGAGTGCAGTAAGATGTCCATTTTGAGGTTAAAAAAATCATATGAAAAGGAATCTCATTCTGTTGAACTGTCAGTCTACTGAAAATTTCTTACAGTTCCATTAATTTACTGTAATTTTCAGTTTCCAGATACAAAAATACAACAATTCTTATTGAAATCTATACGCTGGTAGTTTTAGTACACAAAAAAAAAACCAAACAAATTATTTACAAAATTATACAGTTTAAGAAAAAACTTTGTACAAAAAATATATAAATCCTTTGTTCCCTCTATCACGTTTAAACTGTCAGGACTCAAAATATTCACCACAATGAATCTTTCAAAATATATACTGACTGAGCCACAGACATCAAGAAAATTTCATCAGGGATGATGGAGGAGTAAGGAGCAAGATTGTTTATACCAGATACCCCATTCTAATGTTTTATTTCTGTATAAGCTTATTTTACCTTCAGTGTTACCAGAAATATAACAAGAGTCAGAAAAGGGGAAGTCCTTATTATTCCGAAGGGAAAGTTATATGAACTTAAAAATGATCCTGGTTTGACACATCATTCCAGGAATGTAGAAAAGATAATCCAAATGTGAGATTTAACTTCTTATAGCTAAGTAAATCTAGAGTCCTGATGGTTTTAAGTTCTTAGTGAATAGTTTCCATTTTGAGAAAGTTTCTTCCTCAGCAAACAAAATCCTTGATATAGTGTTCACCAAGAACCTTCTGAAGCCACCAGGAAGTTTTCAATTTTCACACCACACATATATAAAAACACAGATGTATATAACCTTGAAAAAGTGACATCCTATGTACATTAATCATTTTATTTCCCCAGGGGTCAGTACAGTGTAGTGTTGCTCCTCTGCTTTTCCATCTGACATTCAGAACACAAGGACATAAATTTACATATACATTTTACTTAACAGATACTCTGCTCTATACAGTGTACAGTAAGAATGCACACAGTAAAGAAAACTGTCTACTGAAGGATGCACATGTTCGTGGATAGCAACAAGCTACAAAATTATGAAAAAATAAGTTCCTCTGATCAAAGTCTAGCTGTGATTTCCATTTATTACTAGCATACCCAGGACCCACCCCCATCCCCACCCCACCCCACCCACCTCATCATCATGGTTTCAATTTAAGAAACAAATTCCAGACACTTTTTAACCCTTTTGTGTAACTATAACTAAACTGAAGCTTCAAAAGAGAGAGAGAAAAAAAAGCTGGTGGCTCTCTCCTCCCCAAAATCCTTCCATTATTTTCATGAAAACATCACTTATTATCAAGGTGCTGGTTTAGACCTTCCACTGGAGACTAACTTTTGGTGGTCCAAATGAACCACTTACTTCAATAATAGCTAAGTCAGGCCTATTAAAAAAAAAGGCAAGAGGAAGAAAAGGGGAATAAGAAAGGGGCAGTAGGTGAAAGAAAGCCTTTTACATTCTGAAAATGGTATTAAAATTTTTAAAAAGAGGCCCAGGAGAACCACTGCTAGGTATCAAAGCAAACTAAGAATCGGCAGCAGAGGAAGTCCAGGGCTCAATGATGAAAGAAGGAAAATACCTCAGCGCTAGCTACCATTGCCTTATAACACTTAAGAATGGAGAGTTGGTTGCGAGTTTCACTGAAATAGTACTACTGCAAATAAAAACCATTAAAAAAAAATTAGACGGCATACAAATTGGGCTCCTCCATAGGAAAAATTTAAAATAAATGTACTTTTCTTCCAAGACCATTCTTGAAAGCAAAAGGGTATTTTAACTACAAATATCTCCTACTGTCTGACAACCCATCCATAATAGCTGAGAGTTAAGAGATTCCAGGCGATTTTGACATTTAATTAAATTTTATCAGTAGATTATAATCCAAAATAAAATTTCTGAACACCCTGTCATTTACATCATAATCCAACACCAATAGCAACCAAAACATGTGGTGTGGCAAATAAGGCTCTAGAGATTATCCATGTCATTCCTGTGGATCTTCACAACTGCATAAAAGTCACTAGGCCTTTGGTGCTTTAATATCACGTACAGTTATGAGATGTGTTTAAATAGCAAACTTGCTGTCCTTAAGCCTACTGTGTTGAAAAGAAAAATTTAAAAAAAATTTTTGGCTCATTGACTTCTTTAAATAATTTTTAAAAGTTGTTCCTCTAAGCAATATTTCTAGAAATTACACAGCTCGCATCAGATTTCATCTTCTCCATGAACGAGACTCATATTCATCTTCATCTTCGTCATCATCATCATGCAAAAACAAATCTGGTGTTTCCGTTTCCTGAAGAGAGAGAGAATAAAATCTACTTAGTCGTACAAGAATGTTAAAGAAGATACTTTTTAGTCCAAAGGACAGACCAGTAAAGCCCAGATTGCTTTATAAGCAATGTACTCAAGAGTATCTTTCAGGACAAAACTAAAACAGTTTTTTAATAGCTATAAAAAATTTCTTCCCTGCTCATTTTGTTGATGTTGTTTTAAAGTAACATCACCTATTTATTTATTTAAAGAAGGTTTTGACAAAGCGCAGTGGCTCATGTCTATAATTCCAGCACTTTGGGAGGTCAAGGTGAGAGGACTGCCTAAGCCCAAGGGTTCGAGACCAGCCTGGGCAACTTGGTGAGACCTCATCTCTACGACAAAGTAAAAAAAAAAAAAAAAATTAGCCAGGTGTGGTGGCATGTGCTTATAGTTCCAGCTACTTGAAAGGCTGAGGTGGGAGGATTGCCTGAGCCCAGCAGGTTGAGGCTGCAGTGGCCGTGAGCGTGCCACTGCACTCCAGCGTGGGCGACAGAGTGAGACTCCAACTCAAAAAATAAAATAAAATAAGACAGGGTCTCGTTCTGTCACCCAGGCTGGAGTGCACTGGTACGATCATAGCTCACTGCAGCCTCAAACTCCTGGGCTCAAGCAATCCTTGTGCTTCAGCCCCTGAAGTAGTTGTGACACAGGTGCATGCCCCCAGGTTCAGCTACTTTTTTTGTTGGTAGAGATGGAGTCTATGTTACCCAAACTGATCCTAAACTCCTGGCCTCAAGCAATTCTTCTACCTCTGCCTCCCAAAGTGCTGAGATTACAGGCAGCAGCCACCACATCCTGGCCTACTTGCTACTTGCTACTTGTTTCAACAGGAGACTTCCATTATAGTTATCATCAAGAAAATAAATAATGTGTGGACATTTAGTAAGAAAATTATTATTTTTTAATCTATGGGATGCATTTCTGATAAATTAAGTTAATTTTGTCCCATTAACTTAAAAAATTAGGAAAACAGGATGGCTGTGGTGGCTCACACCTGTAATCCCAGCATTTTGGGAGGCCGAGGTAGAAGGATTGCTTGAGTCCAGGAGTTCAAGACAAGACTGGACAACATAGCAAGACCTCGTCTCTACAAAGAAGTAAAAAAATTAGCAGGATGCAATGGCATCAGCCTGTAGCCCCAACTACTTGGGAAGCTGAGGAGGAAGGATCACGTGAGCCCAGGTGCGCTGTGGTGGTATGCTATGGTGCGCTGTGATGGTATCACTGAACCACTCTAGCCTGGATGACAGAGTGAGACTCTGACTCAAAAAAGAAGGAAGGAGGTTCCAGCTGCTTGGAAGGCTGAGGTGAAAGGATTGCCTGAGCCCAGCAGGTCAAGGCTTCCGTGGCCATAAGCGTGCCACTGCACTCCAGCCTGGCAACACAGCGAGACTCCAACTCAAAAAAAAAAAAAAAAAAAAAGAGGAAAGGAGGGAGGGAAAATAAATTAACTACCACTCAAACTCCTAAATCTTTCCTCTTATATCCATCCAATTATTTGTAATAGGTGAATATATTAACTTCCCCATGATACTAACATTCCAAATAATATGTAAAATATCGGTCATTTTAGACAAAAGTAGATGTATCTAAAAACATTGCCAAATTACCAAGACTTTTCTTTTCTTATTTTAATATTTTATTTTAATATAGGAAACATTTCTGCTTTTGTTATTCAAAATTACCCATATAATTGGAAGACACATGACCAACTATAAATGCTAGATATCTTTTAAAACTAAGATTTGTAATAAATCATAAAACCCTTGCAATTCAAGTGTTCGTTTTAATTATAAATACAAGAGAAAGACAAAATTAATTCTCATATTTCAAGAGGCTGATTATTCAGTACATGTATTATTTAAGTGGTTGGATTTCCAATTCTTCCCTCCAAGTCCAATTTTTGCATACTCTCACTTTAATCAATTGTACACAGAAGAAAAATAAGAAACTCAAATCTATTACTATGAAACTTGTAAACCAAAAGCAAAAACAACCAATCAAAGTTTAATCTGTTGGCCAGATACAGTGGCTTTCACACCTGTAATCCCAGGAGGCCCAGGTGGGAGGAGTCCTTGAGCCTAGGAGTTCAATACCAGAATGGGCAATATAGCAAGACTCTATCTCTACAACAAACAAATAAATAAACAAATAACTTTAAAAATTAGGAAAATAGGACAAGTGTGGTGGCCCTAGAACCCAAGTAAAGCCAAAATAAATGTAAAGAAAAAAGAAAAGAATGTCTTCCACACCAGAATAAAATAACCCCCAAAAGAGTTTTTATATCTCCACACCTGTTCTACTTCTTCAGTAAAGTTCTAGAATGGTCTTAACTAATTGCATGTATAAAAGAAAATCCAATATTTATTTTTAAATTTATACTATTTATGTCACGAAAAATATGTAGCTGAGAACTGATCTAATTCAACTCTTCTTTTTAATCATTGGATTTACCTCCTCCTTAACTTCTTCTTCCTCAGTTTCAGTGGATATAGATGGTACCTTGGGCTTGTGCCATGATATTTGTAGCCGACGGTCTTTGAATTTTGACCCTTGGTTTGCAGCCTAAAATATATTTTAGAATATATTTAGAACATATAAATTTGCACTCATATTTACTTTCTTCACATTCTGTGCTATTTTAAAAGTATAATGATTTGGGGAGGAAAATCTGTTAAGATGGTTCTACAATGTTCAATGAGGGCTAGAAAAATAAAGTCTTTTTTAATTGGAGTAACTACATGTTCCAGTTTGCCTAAAATAATCCATAGTGCATATCTATGTCAGGTAAACGTTAACATCTCACTCTACTTACAAAAGTTATGAAGAGGACAACAAGTATATTTTTAATACAGTTACTGGCCCCTAGCAATGATATCTACATATCTATACTCAAACCTTAAAAATATGTAAGCAGGCCGGGTTTGGTGGCTCAGTCTATAATCCCAGCACTTTGGGAGGTTGAGGCAAGTGGACTGCCTACACCTGCGGGTTTAAGACCACCCTGAGCAATTTGGCAAGTCCTCATCTCTGCAATAAAATAAAAAAGAAATAACTGGGAGTGGTAGCGCACATCTGTAGTTCCAGCTACTTGGAAGGCTGAGGCAGAAGGATTGCCAGAGTCCAGCATGCCACTGCACTCCAGCCTGGGCAAAGGAGTGAGACCCCAACTCAAAAAAAAAAAAAAAAAAAAATATATATATATATATATATAATGTTAAAAATCATTATATATAAATATAAATACATATAATATATGATATATGTAAGCAATTTTTTTAAAAAGGTGACTATCTCATGTCTATTTATTTCATCATATCTCTTACAGTACTGTGTTTAATATAGCTCTTCCTACTTCCTCTTCTGAAATGCTATACAATGGCAAGTACACCCCAGCTCGTCTATGCATTCCACATATGTAAATTAAATACCTATTATCTTAACTCAAAGTAAAACTGCTCCATTTCAAATGTGTTACTTGGTACTGATTTCTAAACATTTTTTTCTCCCTAGTCAAGTTCCAAAAAAGGAAAGTAAAAGCTTAGTTTTCAAGACAAAGCAACAGAGACAAAACAGAAATCCAAAGTTTCATACAAGTGAAAGCTTAGTCATCCCTACAGCTTTTCTTTCAAGGGCCCTGGATTACAGATATCCTCATCTGGGGTACAGTTCTGAAAAACATAATGGAAGGGGTTCTTTTTAATTTGGGGTTTCACTCTAGTTTGTCTAGCAAAATTGTGGATCAACCTCATGAACATATGTCAAATGTCTCCATAAAACACTATTTAGGCCAGACTCAAGCTACCATCCAGTGATCTCAGAGGGAAGTTCCCACCACTCCTTGTGGGGGCGGAATGCTTATAACCTAACACAAAAGTCTGACTCATGGGCCACACCAAACTAAGGAATCAAAATGATCCTATCCAAATACATATATTTATCATCTTTTAAAAATCAGGTAATGTGTATAATAGAAATCATTCGTCCTTACTCTGTTATTTTTTGAACTATGGATGGTTGAATCCATGGACGTGGAATCCACGGATGTGAAGGGCCAACGGTATACATGAAGGGCAGATTGCATATCCAAGAGCAATGCGTGTATATATGTAGTCAAAAATATCTTTACGACAGAAACACTACTTATAAAAGCCATAAAGTAAAATAACCCAAATACCCATGAATGGAGGATGAAAAAATAAACTGTGGTGTATTTACACAAATGAATAGTACACAATAAAAATGGAAAATTACTGTTGCACATAACAACACAAATGAATCTCACAAACATAATAAATAAAAGAAGTCGGGGCAACCCCTTTGGGCCTCCTCCCACTGTGGGAGCTTCTCTGTCCTCTCTATAAATCCTGCTTTCTTACTTTAAACAAGTAATTAATTAATTAGTTAAATAAATAAAAGAAGACACAAAAGAATACATACTGTGTGATTCGATTAATATAAAATTTTTAAAACAGGCAGAATAATACTACAATATTTAGGAACGTGCATTTAGGTGATAAAAACTACAGTCAATTCTCTTTATTGGTAGTAAAAATTGCCAGAGGCTGGGCATGGTGGTTCATGCATGTAACCTCAAAACTTGGGGGGCTGAGGCAGAAGGATCACTTGAGTCCAAGAGTTCAAGACCAGCCTAGACAACATAGTAATCCCTATTTCTACAAAAATTTAAAAAGTAGCCTGGCATGGTAGCGTGCATGCCTACTTGAGGGGCTGAGGTTGAACCCAGAAGTTTGAGGCTACAGTGAGTTATGATCATACCACTATACTCCAGCCTGGGTGACAGAGTGAGTGAGACCCTGTTTATAAACAAATAAGCAAATAAAAAGGTACACAAACATGGAATAAGCAAATACTAAACCACTGCTTCTAGGACATACATGGTGAAATTCTTACAAGTCTCTAGAAGATCACAACATTTTCTTCAATTGATCAATACATAACCTGGTTTTATGTGTTTCTGTTTAAAGACACCTTATTTATACATATTGTTGATTCTTTTAACATTGAACTCATGGCCAAAAGCACTATACCTTATACCTGAACCAAGTTTAATTAATGCATGTTTCTTTGTAAGGCAAATCACAGCCTTCTTGCACTTAGGAACACTAGAGACAGCACTTCAGAACAACACTGAGGAGCCATGTTAAACAGTTTAACCTCCAAAAAGAAGCACAAAAAAATGAGAAAGATGTGGCATTAAATAGGTCACACAGAGCCAATAGATACACAAAATAATGGTCAGCCTCACTAAGCATCAGAGAAATGCATATCAAAACTACAATGAGATACCACCTACCTCCAGTAAGGATAGTCAACATTAATTAAAAAACAACAACAACAAAAAGTCCAGATGCTGGTGTGGGTGCAGAGAAAAAAATGCTTCTACACTGTTGGTGGAGTGCAAGCTAGTTCAACCTCTATGGAAAGCAGTGTGGCAAATCCCAAAAGAACTAAAAATTGACCTTTTATACAATCCAGCAATCCCTCTCTTGGGAATATACCCGGAGGAACATAAATTGTCCTACAAAAAAGACACCTGCACACATGTTTATTGACACACTACTGACAATAGCAAAAACATGAAACCAACCTTGGTGCCATTGAAAGTGGACTGGATAAAGAAAATGTAGTATACACAATGGAGTATTACACAGGCATAAAGAAAAACAAAATCATGTACTTGGCAGCAAATTTGATGGAGTTGGAGACCATCATACTTAGTGATCTAGCACAGAAACAAAGAACTGAGTACCGCATGTTCTCACTTATAAGTGGGACCTGAGCATTAATCACATCAGCAGAAGGGAGGGATCAGCAGTTGCTAGGCACTGCCAGGAAAGGGGGAGCACATAACAACACAAAAGCTACTTGGTCCTATACCGGGGGAGGGCCGGTTGGAGGCCCAAAAGTCACCTGCAAGCAGTCTACTTGTGTAGTTAATCCTTACTTGTACCCCACATCTCTATAATAAAATAAAATTTTATAACAACAACAACAATAATAATAGATCGTACAAAGATTATTTGTTTACAGTATGAAAGCTGAAACAAGAAGGCAGAGCATCACTTTATTCGACCTCAACTAGGAATATGACATCAGGGAACTCACAACTCTGAATGTCTGAGAATGACTACAAAAGCACCACGAGTACTGATTTTGGAGTTATAAATAAACTTTAGTGAGTAGATGAATTGGCAAATATAAAATCTGCAAATAATAAGGATCGATTATATAAAGAAAGCAAGGTGATTACATAAAGTGAGGATAACTGTTACTTCTCTGGGGAAAAGAAAAGAGAGAGGTTGGAAGGGAGACAAGGAGGTTTCTGGGATGCTGGAAATGTTCTATTGCTCAGCCTAAGGAGAAGTTATATGGGTGTCTGTCTTCTGGCAAATCACTGAAATATATGCTTATGATTAGTATTGTTTGTTTTAATAAGCATTTTAAATTAATTATAATTATAACCTTTATAATTTTAAGGAAATACCAAGTAGCTAAGATTTTTATGTGAAAAAAGCAAGGTTTGAAATGCAGCCCTGTATTTATAACATGATCCTATTTTGGTATGTTTTTAAAATGAAAGGCTTTATATATGTATTCTTACATAGTATTTTTTTCTATAATATTTAAGAATAGTGACTATCTTTTAAGAATAGACAATGATTAATAAAAGATTAGAGATTTTTACTTTTATTTTAGCCATTTGCACATTTTTTTATTTTAAAAAGTACTTTAGGATTGGCTGAGTATGATGGCAGCACTTTGGGACAATCCCGGGAGTCCAGGGGTTTCTACAAATAAAAAGAAAAATAATTAGCTCGATGTGGTGGTGTACACTTGTAAACCCAGCTACTCGGACGGCTGAAGTGGAAGGATCCCTTGAGCCCAGGAGTCCAAGGCTGCAATGGGCTATGATCGCGCCACTGCACTTCAGCCTAGGCAACAGTGAGACCCTATCTCTTAAATAACTAAATAAATAAATATTTAGGGCTGACCTCTCAAAATATTACTTACCTACTAATACCTAATTCTTCTACACATACCTATATCCTCTCACACACATATCTAAATATATCTACATATGGCTTGAAATAATGCCCTATTGGGAAAAAAATTAGCTGTCCATCAATATGGGACTATTTAATGTAGTATGACAAATCTATCCAATGAAATACCATGCAGCCATTTAAAAGAATGAAGCAAAACCACATGCACTAGTACAGAACAATCTCTCTCATAACAATCTAATATAAATTAAGTGAAAAGAGCATATACCAAAGAGTGCTGTATCATGTGTTACCACGTATACATAATAGAGAACAAATAATATATTTAGAAAAAGCATATCTCTGAGAAGATATATAAGGAACTGGTAACAGTAATTGCCTACGGAGAGTGAAACTGAGCAACTGGAGATAGAAGGAAATCTTAATTTTTATTGTATACACTTTTACACCTTCCACATTTTGTGTATGTGTGTCAGCCAAGAAAGTAATATAATTCAAATTTTAAAATATACACCATAAATGGAAAATTATATGCAA